TTCCAACGTACCCCTGTTCCATTATTTACTCAATTCAGCTGAGCTATATGCTTATTCATAGGAGCTATCTGCTTATTCAAAAGCTAATTTCTATAATTAACTCATTGGGTTTCAAACTTTTATATTTAGTAGAATAGAATATTATAGCTATAAAACTCTTATACCTCCTACTATTTATATCGCCCGATTATTAAATAAAAATACTTAAAGATATGAATAAACAGGCAGGTGCAATACACTGCCGTTTTCAATTCGACTCGGATCGATACGAAATTCTCATAATATAATAGTAGGACTACGAATAGGCTATTAGCTAAAGAAATTCGTCGATTAAATAGCCAAATAGCCGGTTATGAATTTTTGAAGAATTTCTAATTTAATATTCCCAATATCGAAATTCATATTAAAATCCATAATTAAATTCTACGTATAACAAGAAATACAATACCGAAGTCGAAATCGATATCGAACGGCTTAATCTTTTTCTTTCATTCTTTTCTTTTTTCTCTTCTTTCTCCTTCGCGTTCTTCTGCTTTGGTCGTCCTTCGCAGGTAAGGTTTGAGTTATAAATATATATAATTATATTATTATTATATATATTATATTATATTATATTATTATTATTAACGTTGTTGTTGTTATTATTATTATTATAAATATTATCTTCATCATCATTACCTTTATTATTATATATTATATTTTATATTTATTTTTATCGATATTTATCCGTTTAACAGTCTTTTCAAACATAATCAATATATAAAATAGGAATAAAATTTATTCCAGAGTATTAATTTCTTGATTCCAAAATATTATAAAAAATATTTATTTGTTATAATAATATTATTTTATACACTTCAAAATTGGGGTATTACGTTGTGAAACAAAGTCTGCTCTGAGGAAGATCAAAGCTTCAAAGGCACTTCCATGCCACCCACTCATCAGCCAACTTCAAGTCATTCGAGTGCATCAAGTTTCACTCTAGTAATGACTATCAACGCATCAAATATAGAGGACCAACTTGTTGCATTGACCAAAATCATTAAAGGGATATCTCAACACATACAACAACAAGACGCCCTCATCCAAAACTTCTCACCAAGCTGGACAAGCCTGAAGAAGTCGGTCATGGCATCGAAGTGGCCCAAAATGAAGCGGCAAATATGTTGATCAACGTCATGGTAAAGAAAATATGGGAGAACCAAATCTATTTCAAGGATCATTCGACTCCTTCATCCATATACCACAACTTGACCAATACATCAAGGGGCACTCAAAAAAGAATTCGAAGGGAGTTCAAAGTTGACGTACACTTACACGAAGCCTTACACTGCAAGGATTAACGCCCTCAAAATGCCAACGGACTATCAACCACCAAAGTTTTAACAATTCGATGACAAAGGCAATCCAAAGCAACATATAGCGCACTTTGTCGAAATATGCAATGATGGTGGAACATATGGAGACCTCCTAGTCAAACAATTTGTGCGGTCTCTAAAAGGCAAGGCCTTCGAGTGGTGCATCGACTTAGAGGCTGGTTCTATCGCCAATTGGAAACAGCTAGAGTACGAATTCTTAAATCAGTTTTACAATACAAAGAGAACCGTCAGCATGACCGAACTCACCAACAGCCGCCAATGGAAAGACGAGTCAGTAATTGACTACATCAACCGCTAGAGAAGTCTAAGCATCAACTGCAAAGACCGTCTATCCGAGGCTTCTGACATAGAAATGTGCATTCAAGGAATGCAATGGGGCTTGAAATACATCCTACAAGGGACCGGACCTCATACTTTTGAAGAACTTGCCACTCGCGCTCATGATATGAAATTGAACATAATGTCTAGTGGAATGTATGGATCGCCTACTGAAGATTTCTCATAAGAAGAGAAATACGACACTTCAAATAGTGGAGGCAGTCATACCTTCAACATTCAAAGAAAAAAAGAAATGATTATTAGGGCGATAAACAAAGGTTCAACCAAAGTTCAAAGTAAAGACAAGAGGACAATGGCGAAAAAGCAAATGGCTAAAACAGAACGGCCACTAAAGCCAACACTTGAAGAAAAACAGTTAAAGACATATCCTTTCTTGGATTCAAATGTCGCATGCATTTTCGATGGTTTACTCGAAGCCAACCTCATTGAACTTCTGAAATCCAAAAGACCAGAGGAAGCTACAAGAGTTGATAATCCAAAATATTGCAAATATCATTGCTTAGTAGGTCATCCCATCAATGATTGCTTCATTTTCAAAGAAAAAATCATGGAGTTAGTCCACGAAAGGAAAAATTATTCTAGAAGAGGACAATGCTACAACCATCGTCACTTCCATCACATTTGGATCTCTCACAGCAGACAGAGAGATTCCTGACTCAAGGAAAAGTCCCATTAACTCAAGATTCATGCTCAAGCATCAAAGAAAACAAAAAATAATAATAAATCCGCCGAAGAATGCAAAACAAATTCCTTCAATAAGGATCGTTCTTCTCAAAATGATTGACCACCAAGGACGGTGTCTACTTTCTACAATCTCCTAGAAACGAGGATAAACTTTCTACAATCTCTTAGAAACGAGGATAAACTTTCTACAATCTCTTGAAAATGTGGATAAACTTTTTACAATCTTCTAGAAACGAGGATAAACTTTCTACAAGACTCCTTAACACGAGAATAAATTGTTTAATAAATATAAACAAATTCAATTTGTTTTGAACTATGTTATGACTTGATTCTTTCACCGAATACGCAAGCAACTTGGAATATAACTCCAAGTTCAGTCAATTATGTAAAAAAAAAAGTCCAAAAAAATGAATTGGACAAAGAAAAAAAAAACCCTAAAAAAAATTGGTTTGAAAAAAATCATTTGGACAAAAAAACAATCTAGTCCAAAAAAAGAAAAAGCCTTTCGAAATAAAAAATATTGGCTAAATAAGATAAAATAAATACACAAAAAAATGATAGCCATAAAAAATAGAATTTCGGTCAAAAAAAATATAGACTGACTTGATATTTCGAAACTTATTCAAACTTTAAACGCAGCTTAAACAAGTCTCGGGGGAACATTTTGTAGGCATTAAAAATTAAATCGACTATATTAAATTAAATATCATATATATTGGAAAAAAAAAATGAAATTCTGATATAATAAAGGTGTGATATTTATTTATGCACATATATTAATTTTTGGACAATAAATATTCACCATTATTGCAAAAATCTTCTTAAAATGAAAGATATCGTACAAATATTACGTACATAAATATAACTATAATAAATTTGGCAACAAAATAAATTAATCTCGTCAATAAATGAAGTATCTAAAATAATATCTTCCGAGAAATGAAATGATATAAAAATCTTGACAAGATTAGAAGGCTCGCAATCAAATCTTTCAAAAGTGAAAAACAGCATGGGACGAAAAAGGAAAGATTATACAATCTTTCTATTGGTCAATCAGGATGCGTCACGTTTGCATCATTCAAAAATGAAGTTGAGGTCACCCATTTACTATAAATAAATAGGGGTCATGATCAATTCATTTGACATACCGAACTTATATCAAGGATTCAAGAAGAGGTAACTCTCTAGACTCTTTCTGTATTGTTCTTCATGTTCTTCGTGTCCTTCGAAGTGTTTTTTGTCGAAAAGTCACTGATTTGAACAAACGATCCAATATTGGTTGACGAATCGATGAAGTTAACGTTATTCGTCGTACGTCCAAGCAGGAGGAAGGATCAAAACTCCAAAATCCGTTGAAGAATTCGTCAAAGTCAAGGGAAAGCCTCCAAAATTCCTCTCAAAGCTTTAAGATGATCATCGTGTTCTTCACCAAAGCATCAACCCGACTCTCTTTGATCTAAAAGTCAAAGGGACACGCTGCCAAAAAGAATTATGGAGTACCATATCCATCTCCTCAAAGATCAAAGCCTCCGACCGTCCAAGAAAAACATCAAATCCAACACCAAAGATCAAATCGCCTGTACGGAGACCAAACTCCTCCGAAAGCCGGTAAAGTCGAATCAAATATCAAATCCACCTCGGCAATGATCAAAATCTCGGACCGTCTAAATAAGACATCAAATCCAAATCCAAAGCCAAAATTAAATCGCTTACACGGAGACCAAAACCCTCCGAAAGCCGGCAAAGCCAATAGAAGACCAAATTCTTTCGGATCAACCAAAAATACATCAAATCAAAAGTCGACGATTAAATCGCCCGTACGGCGACCAAAGCCTTCCAAAAGTCCGACAAAGCCAAACCGAAGACCAAATCTTTTCGGATCAAATAAGCCATCCAAATTCGAATTGGAAAATGAATCAACCCGAAAAAAGAATCAAATAACCTATTTAGAAAATCGGACTCGCTTTAAATCTAAATTAAATACTTCCTCTGTCTCAACTAAATATCCATTTGCTTTTTGCACATAATTTTAGAAATATTAATATTATATTGGAATGTAGTAAGAATAAAGTAGAAATTACTAAAATAACCTTATTAGTATATGCGATATAAAAGTAATGACAATTGTGTAATATATTATAAATTGTAAAGATATTTATCATGTTAGGTAGACAATTACTAAAAAAAAATAGATACTTTGTTAAGTGACGGACTAAAATGAAAAAATAAATAATTTGTTATGAAACGAAGGGAGTATAATTTATATAAATTTGTGTTCATTAAAAAATAATAGAATTTTTTATCTATATACTATATTATATTTTATCATCTCAAAAAATATATATATATCAAACCAAACAAACAATCCCAATATATCTATCTGAACCAATCCAAAAATTTGAATTTTAAGATATTTTCAATTTGTTTCAGAGCAAAAATTGGAAAAATCCAAGAAAAATTTGGATCTCAATTTAATTAGCATAAAATATTTGAATATTTTACTCACCCGTATCAACTTGGATAGAAGTTTCTAAAGTTTAAAATTTTGAAAAAAAAAGAAATAATTGTAAAATAAATGCAAACCCCTTAGTACATGGATATTCTCGCTCAAATATTGCCCTTATCTTAACCCATAGTTAGATTCAAACATTTGCGAGGACACGGTTTTAGTCTATCAATCCTCTGTTTTACATGTTAAAACAAAGAAAAACACAATTTTAGAATGTCATAATCTTACACGAAAGAAATGTTCCCTTTAACACCATGCTCTACTAAGACAACGGTTGTTATGATCATTCGCGCAGCCAAAAAATCCACGACATTAAGCCAATACCTTTTTGAGTCGCACTCGTACACACATTTCAACCGGGACTGTCTGCTCAGTTCTGCAGCACACTACACAGCCAACAGCAGATTCGGACAACCATTTAACTTGCTGCAAAATTACTGATTCGAATAATGCTTCAAGGCTCTGATGGACCACTTTCTTCCTCGGGCAACCCAAATATTCTAAGGTTTCTGTCCATGGATCCAACTGCCACGTACTTTGCATCAGGGCCGAATTTGACACAAGTAGCTTTACCTGCATTCACGGCATTGAAGTGATTTTAAGGCACAAATAAATAAATGGTACAAAAGGAAAAAGTCCCTGCGCAGGTGCTCTATGTTACCTGTTCCTGATAAGTCGGGGAATGTTTTGATGCAATTCCATTCAGATTTGACACTGCCAACTTGATAAACTCTGCAATATAAAGTGTTAGTTAATGATTCGGTATCAACATCAGTTCAGGCACTCCCAAAGTATGTTGGTTAAATCATATGAACAAATGCACCAGTTAGAAGTTACCGTATATCCGAGCCTCCCAGAGCAAGATAGCATGCGCTATGGTCGAATTCAACTGCAGAATCAAGAAAATACAAGAATTAACAAGATATAATAGTCAATTGACAATGTTGTCAAATGTCAACCATACAGCAATTCATACTCTTCATTACCGAACCGCATAGTCAATTTTAGTATTGATCACGAATGCAAGATTGTTGAGCCAATGCATATACAGATAATAGGTACAAAGATAATATTTTTTAATGTTAATATTCATGTCTAATACTGTGGTCAGTGTTGAAATCATAGTTTTGCACCATTCCCCAACGATATGTGTTGAATCATGTACTGTCATGGCTCTACAAATAGCTTTGCACCATGCAATAACTACAACTATGCTAAAAATGTTCACTAGACTTCCAACAGACGGTACATTTTCAAGGGACTAAAAAACCTTCAGGCAAATCAGTTTAAACATTGTGAATACATCCTACAAACTACAAGCAATTTCAAATATAAACAAACAATAATATAAATCACACCTGATTGTGTAGGTGTATTTTCATCATATGGACTGAACGTTCTGAAGTTCTTCAACCTCCGCAGATCCCAAAGCTTAACACCATCTTGCGCAGCAGTCTGAATATTCAAACATTGTAATCAAGAAAGGCAATTCACATTGATCATTACATTAACACGTCTGTGGAGGAAAACCCACCGCCAGGAAGTAACCATTCTCTGCAAATGAAATGGCAGTAACTGCTCCAACATGCCCATCAAATTTCGCAACATTTGTCTGCACAATGTCAAAGAAGCTCAGACTACTTGAGCAATCAGAAGCAGCAGGACTAAATAAGTCGTACACAACATGAAAAATTATGCACCTGACTTTTTACATCCCAGATCCTAACTAGAGCATCGGTGGTACCAGTTCCAAGGATCAGACCATCAGGATGAAAAGCCGCAGATGTATAGCCTTCGGAAGATCCTGAAGTGTCTTCAACCTGCAAGAAGCTAGTATATTGATCAAACCAGATGCAAAGATCTAATACAATGAAGAAAATAGAATTGCAATGCCCAAATTATAAGATAAAAAACAGGGTCAAGACCTGGGTTAGGCACAAGCCAGAAGCAAGGTCGAAGAAGCACCAAGTGTTGTCAAGAGAAGCAGTGACGAAATAATTGTTTGTTGCATGGATAGTAACAGCTTGCACCTGTTATAAAAGAATTAGAAGGGGCACATGCACAAGAATTATAAGATCCATAAGCTCAGCAAGACTGCATGAAAGTTCAAAGCATCGCTGAAACAGTCAATTGAAATAAAGGGGCATACATCCCCCATAGGGCTTATAAACGGCATAGGATGTACACCCTCAAGTGCCAGGGACTATGCCAAATAAATGAAAACAGAAATGATTACTTTTAAACATAATTGATTCTGTTAATTGAAAATTATGAAAAACTAGTAATGTGATACTTATGAAGTCAAGAAACTATGTATATAGAAAGAAAAAAAAAAAAGAACAACACTTTAGACCTATTTTCAAAGCACATAATCACAAATATATATAGTCTAATGCACAGGTTAAATGACCACTTTAACAAATAGTAAGCATAATCAGAATGCAGCAACATTATATCTGCACAAAAAAACAGGCCAAAAGCAGATGCGGTACCAGTAAATCAAAAAATGCTATATACCATCCATCTAGTCTTGATCAGCATTTCTAACATACACACACACACACACATCAGGGCAGCATCTTAAAATTAAGGTTTTCAAAGTTCACAACATACAACAGAAACTACGAGAGCAATTTACTAGGTAAAGGTAACTATTTTTCTTTACTGAGATTGAGTTTCATTTGCAGAGGATTTAGAAACAGATGAATAACCCTTTTCAAAATAGAATAGATTCTGCTGCCTTTAAGAGTATATGTACAGAGAAAGATTGCTTAATAAAAGCCTGAGCGTACTGCAACATGTTTAGAGCATATAAAAATAGCTACTCGAGAAGACCTTGCAAATAGTAAAATATTAGTAGAGAAGAAGCAACTTAAGTATTTACCTCAGCACTATGATCCTTCAAAATGTGCTTACAATCATAGTTTCCCTCTTCAGACCCTTTCCACACCCGAACAGTCTACAAGTAAAACCATAGCAAAAAATGACCTTATAGAACAGTAATCTTTTACGCCGTGGTGATACTTTACTAAAATAAATAAATAAAAACCTTCAAATAGAACCTTTAAGCATAATGCATCAAACCAGAGGCAAAATTCATAAATCAGGTATTTAACATATTTAAGTATGATTAACCAAAGTTATCATAAAATACAAATCTAGAATAGAACATCAAAAGGTCAACTGATGCTGAAAGAATCCATATGGTGGTCAACAAAAATCATAATACCCAACATTAGATCCCCGAAAGAGATATTCTAAGCTCAGTTTCTTGTAAAAATTTGAGCCGGAAATACTATTGGCACATCTAATGGGCCAAATTTCCTTCTTCAAATCATAGAATCCACATAACCAATGAAAGTAGCTAGTTCAAATTGATCAATTTTAATAAATCTCCGGGTAGTTTGCATTCACTTCTCGGAGAACATTATAGCCAACAAATAAACAGAGCGAACAAAGAACAAATTTCTTCAATTGATCTAATAACCAAAAACAAATATCAAGTTAATATGACTTTGGAGTTTAATGATACCTTATCAGCAGAGCCAGTAACTACTAACTCACCATCCCCAACAAACTTGACACTTGTCACCTGCACATAAGGAAAATAGAGTATAGACATGTTCCATGCAAAAACAATGTTCATAACATGTGCTTATTGATGTCATCATGAAATGACACATGCAGAATAGTACAACAGCGCTACTAACTAACCTTCTTTGAATGGCCACTGAGAGTAGACACCACTTGCCCGGAGGGTCTATCGAAAACTACAGCATTTGAATCAACTCCCGCTGTGGCAATGATGTCCTTAAAGAAAAATAATAATAAAAAAAAAATTACAAGAATGGCAAAATGAATACGACAATTAATCCACCATTTTTAACAATTATTACAGCATAAGTAAAATGAATTAGATAATTGGCATAAATGGGATTTACAATGATTACGAACTCTGTGCAAGCCAATCGGAGCTTCAATGCATTTTTAATTTAAATAAATAAGAAACTATATTTGATAATTCAAACAATTATCATTTCAAATGGACAAAAGACCAATGAGGCATATCTATGATTTGACTACAGTATATTCATTAAACTTTAGTTTGAACCTATAATGTAGATATAAAATTTTTATCAATACAATGATATATGTTAGCAGGAGAGTTGCTACATAAATTTGTCTACTAAAAAACAGACAGGTTGAAAGTACAGCTAACAATATCCTTTCAGGTGACGACGAAACAGAGAAGTAAACAAAAACCAAATCCTAAATAATCAGAGGTGCCACACATCACATATCCATATCAATTTAAAAAACTTAACGCCATCAATTTACAGGTACCGGAAGCAAACATTAATGTAATTGTAGTTCAAACCCCAATATTCAAAGGATAAAGCTACTAATCTGGGACCTGTTAAGGAGCAAGTGGATCAAATAAAAACAAACAGGAGGGGCAATCTAGAGAACATTGATACCTTCGAATACAGGATGTCCATGGCCAGTATGCCAGGTTTGTTAGTTCGGTGAAGAGGATTGACAGTCAGTTGAGTATACCTCTCAATAGCATCAACAGGAGCCAAGGTCGGAGGTATCTAATAGAATGTATACATATGAAACTTTAAGAATTTGTTGAAGAAAATTGCATACAGAACATAAAGATTCCATGGTACAGCTTTTCTAAGATGAAAAAAAGACATTACCGCTGACTTTCCTTGTCGTTTTTTCCTTTGTTGTGAAAGGGCAGTATTACAATCTGTAAGCTCCGAGATGATACTGCTTGAGATCCCTGGACGAATTCTTTTTCCAGTTGGATCAATTTCATTATCTTCAGCAGCTGCACAAACAAGTATACCATGAATAATCATCCAATAAGAACTAAACATGGATAAATTGCAGACAAGACGAACATCTTTTCCCATTGCTTATAGCAGTTGCATTGGCAGCATTTGGCATTGCATTTGACATAGGAATCTGTCTTTCAGCCTGCGCCAACAAAGCCCTAGCCTCATCCCTTTCCTTCTTCAGCCTTGCAATGACACGGCAAGCAGCATCATGCTACAAAGGACAACAGAAAAATCAATAGAGTATAGCTTGATATAAAATACCAAGAAGCTATGTGTAAGTACCTGATATAGGGCATGACTCAGCTCTTGTCTGGCAGTATGCAACTGTTGCTCTAACGCAAAATTTGAAAGCATTAAGCCATCCCATTCCTAATGTGAAAATTAAAATGAATGAATTGAAGTGTACCACCATTATATTCTACTTTCATATCAATTGCTCTAAGAAGATCTAAACTACAAAGTAAAACAAAGGGCCCTAATATAGAACTGTTAAAAAGCCATTATAAGCAACGCATCCTTTCAAAACATAAATCAACAGAATAAAAACCAGCATACATTGAAATAATACATTTCGGAAGCACATTAACTAGCTTTCCGGAAGTTAAAACTTGAGGTTTTTGATTCAGGAAAGTCAAGAAGAGTAAAGTATATTAACATTTGTCTGTAACTGAATATTTGGCTAAAAGCAGAACAGCCATATTCAACTTCAAGTCAAACAAGAAATAAGTGAAGTTTAGAGGTAATAAAAAGCACAGTTGTATTCCTACTTAAGTAAACTATATACAGGCGGATCAACAAGGCAGAAGGAAACTATTTACAGAAAGTTCTCAACTATCCTACATTTAACTCCAAAAATTTGAAAATGAAATAACTATGTTGTAATTGTTCACAGAGCACATCAAAACAACAGTTCAATCCTGCTAAATAAGCTTCGGGTTCAAAAACACAATGATATTAAAGAAGCTTAAGTTAGAGAATCTCATACGATTTGAAACATTCCAAGCATCCCAGGAATACTTGCAGCCTGAACTGGTCGAGGCTTCACTACCTGCATAAGAAATCAAGTTCAAAATTTCTTAACAGAAGGACCAAATGACACTCCCAAGCCATTTCAGTTAGAGGAGAATCAATACCTTTCCTGTCTTGACCGGAACAACATCATCTATTGTCATAGGCTCTCCAGTAATTGGGCATTTTCCAAAGTCCTAAGCAAGTGTATGCGAAGAAAAGAAAAAACTAAATAAAATATCAACAAAGATAAAATCCTCCATAACCAGACCAACCAAACAACAGCAGATATTAGATCAAAACTTCGATGCGCAGTAACGACTACAAAAGTGGCCTCTCTAGTGTATCCACGAGTTAATACACAGGCAAAAGTACAGTCATAGAGCAAACACACTCACTGAGATGTGGCGCTCAATCAATCGCCTCTCGAACAGTAGGCCCGAATTCTTGGACACGACGGGCTCCTCCGGCACCTCGCCGGAAACTGCAAAGTACCCAATTAAACTAACAGATCAGAGGCGTCGAACGAAGCACAAAAGCACGGTTTCGTACTTAAAAACAAACCAAGACACATGCACATGTAGTAAGAGAAGAAGTGGGTAAGAGATTTACTTGAGCAATTCATTGTGCGTCGCTTGGCAGCGTGCTGTGTGAGGCCTCCTAGGGTTTATGTTCGAGAGCAAATGGGCAGAGGCGGAAGAAAGAGCCAAGGACGGAAGGGCAAAAGATAAAATTGAAAACAGCGCGGCGTCGTCAGATCCCACCCTATTTGGTCAACAATACTGCCACGCCAAAATTGCTAATGCCAGAGTGGACACAGAGTGTTTTGTCTATTTTGCCCTCTATTTGTAAAGTAGGTACTAGTACTATGTTATTTAAATTAGTCGGTAAATTAGAATGTTATAAATAAAAGAAAAAAAAATAATTTTCGTCTTAATATAATCAAAATTTATTAATTTTGGTTTAAATATAAAAAATTTATCAATTTTAGTCTCATTATAAACAATTTTAATCAATTTTGGTCTCAATATAAAAAATTCATTAATTTTAATCTAATTATAAACAATTTTAATCAATTTTGGTTCCATTATAAATAATTTCAATCAATAAATTGAGACCAAAATTGATAGGAGTACGGTATTGTATGACATCCCAGGTAGGAGTACATGGTGCGCAGGGGCGGATCTACATGGGGGCTAGGGGGTCCCGACCCCAGTCCTTAAAATATATGTATTTTTTAGTGTAAAAAATAGTAAAATATATATATTTTTTAGTAATTTTCCCCTCCTATTTTTTTTTATTTAACAATGTAAAAAATTATAAAATTTTTATCTGTTTGTTAATTTATATTTCTAACCTTTAAGTTTTATTTTTTTATAATAAAAAATATTGAATTTTATGTAGTTTTGTTGAATTTTTTTTAAAACTTTTATTTTTTTTTTTCATTTTGTTTTGCCCGGACGTGCTATGAATTAAAAAAAAATTTGAATCGATTAAAAAAACGATAAAAAAAATCGATATTTTTGCCCCCCAAACTTTTACTGCTGGTTCCGTCACTGCTAGTGCGGCGCAGCTGTGTACGTGTAAAATCTATTGATTAGGTATTAGGGTTTTAAAATAATAATAATAATTATAATAATATATTTATGATTAGATTGTGTATATTATTAATTTTTAATAAAAATAAAAATAATAATTAGTATTAATAAAAATAAATAGTTATTAAATAATATTAAAAAATAATATTCCTTTTATTCCATGTAAATGTCCCATATTTTTTTTATTTATTCCATAATTTATTTTTTAAAAAGAAATAAAATTATATAGTTTAATTGTATTTAAAATTTTATAATTTATTTTTTTAAAATTTTAATTAAATTATTTAATTATTTTAATTTATAATTATTTTTACCAATATATTTTTTAATTATTTACTAATTAAACTTGTTTAAACTACCGTGTATAATTTATTCAGGGACGGAGAGAGTAATAATATAATACTATTTTTATTTATATTTTGTAATTTTTATTGTATTATTATTTTTAATTTAAACTATTTTATTATTTAATATATCAATATTTTTATAATTTATTTTTAATTTAAAATTTAATTTCATTACTTATGAAAATTATTATTTTAATTATTTTTATATTATAATAATTTAATTAATTATTATTTATATAATTTTATATAATAAATATATCAAAATCAAAATTATTTAGTTTTAAATAAAATTCAAATTTAGAAAAACTAAAACAATAAAAAAATATATTAAGAATAAATATATATAAGAATAAATATATATAAACCGGCGGTTCAACTATAAACCGTTGTTTATAAACCGTAATCGAAACCATCAAATCGTAATCGAAACCGTCATTTGGAATGTTCGATTTCAGTTTAACATTTTAACAAAATGTAATCGACTCTTTGTAATCGTAATCGACAATTTAAACCGTTTGAACAAATCTAGTGTAAATACCGGTCAAATTTGGACTACCCATTTATTTATTTGGGGGACCAGAGAATTCTCCGGAGCCTGAGGTTAGAGTTTTTGAATAAATATCTTTTAAGTCATTTATTTTTACAAAATCAACAACATGTTTGTTTTTATTTTCAATAAAAATATTATTATTATTATTATTATTATTATTATTATTTTACTTTTATGATTTTCAACACAAATATATTTTTTCACACAAAAAATTATAACAAAATATTACTTAAATTAAAATTCTCAATGTATTATTTCAATTCATTTCAAATTACAATCAAACAAATTTTAAATTTATAAATTGTTTGAAAAATTACTTATATACCATTAAAAAAAAATTGAGGAACTTCCAGAACTCTTTGGATTTGTTTATTTTGTGGAATTGCTTGATATAAAAATTGTGTAAGTAATATAAAAATAATAAGCGTGTAATATATTAATTTTTTTAAAAGATATGCTTTAATTTGTTTTGACAAATCAAACAAATTTTTTAATTTTTAATAAAAATAATTGAAAATTTTTAGGGTCAAAGCTTAAATTTGTTCGGTTATGGCTAGTGACATATATATTGTTCCGATTTTTCATGCCAAGTCCTTCGTAAAAATATTGGAGCAATATTTGGTCAATAATTTGGTGTTGTGAGCATCGCACATAAAGTCTGTTGAATCTTTTTAGGTATTTATGAAAATGTTTCTCCTTATTGTTGTTTGATGCCGCAAATTTCTTTACGTATGCGATTTCAAAAAATACTTTTCTAAAAATTTCTTTTTTATGTCCCTCAAAGTAGTAATACTTTCCGTCGGTATATAAAGAGTTATTCCTTCACCGTATCCTTTAGTGAAAAAGGAAATGTCCGTAGCTTTACTTGCTCTTCCGTAACCGTCGGTGATTTTATGCTCGAGCAAACACATCAAATTCTTGCAGATATTTATGTGGTTCTTCTCCTACAAGGCTATGAAATGAGGACAAAAAATATATTAGTCCGGATCGTAGTTTGAACTAGCGTTCCCTTAAATTTTTGGAAAAGTAATGCATAAAGGCTATAAATTTAAATTGGGCACGGCTAACTCCCTGAGCGTGTAGGTATCCTTTTTCCGCCATATTGGGTTCTTGGTTGATCGATTTGCTTGGTTGTGAATTCTAAACTCCTTCAAATTCTAATTTTCTTTTCGCTTTCTTTCTCAATCTTCTTACTTACCTCTTGATTTCCAATTTGTATATCAAATTTCCTGTGCAAGAAGAGCGAAACATAAATAATTGAAATATCTAATATATAATAATAAAATATAATTGAGTGGTAAAGAACACAAATTAAATCAAATGCTAGGTCCCCGGAAGCGGCATAAAAAATTGTTGGCTTCAGAGTTTTTAATAAAGATTCTCTAACACCACAAAAGGTCGATCAACATGGATTGTATCGTTTAATTTCTCAAATTCAAGTATGAGAGGGGGGATTAGAAGATTCACCTAAATCAACGGGAATAAGTAATGGGAAATAAAAAGTCAATTTCAATGAGAGTAAATTAGTAGCCTAAGAAGTGAATAAGAAATCAGAATAAAGTTTCAATAATCGATTTTAATTAATATTGTTGTTATAAATTAGTTATAAGTATTAGATACGATCATAATACCCAAATTTTCCTTACCTTATTGGCGACAATTATATGACCGATTGACCGCATCTATAATCAAAGAATTAATAGATTAATTTTCCAATCGAAAATAGTACGAGAAAAACCCAATTCAAATATTCAATCAATTATGAAAAGATTAAATCATTTGATTATGTAATTCATAGACTAAACTTATCAACCTATTTAATATTCCACGAAACAAGTGCGCAATTACGGATGCAAGTGTTCGATTGACACACAATTGCTAAACCAATCTAAGATCCGACCGTGATAAAAGATTAAATAAAATAATTGAAGGCACAAATCACAGAAATTACACAAATACCAATTTAATAAATAAAATTCAATTCAAATCAAAATATAATTTTACAAATCTAAATTCAGCATCTACATCAAACCTCGAATTAGAATAAAAGAAACTACCTATTAACGCTTGAAAATAAATAAAACAAAAAAATAATGATGATTTCTTCTCAAATTGCGTCAATATACTATAATAGTTTAAAAAATGCACCACGGGGCGTTGCCGGCTTCCAACTTAGGAGCCGTCGGGCGGGGTCGGGGGGTGCGGCCGATGCGGCGTGCCGGATCGCCTCCATTCGATGACGGAGAATCGGGCGGCCCTCCGACCGTCTGAATTCTAATATGGAGAAGCGTCCTCAGCGGCTGACCGGGCCCAAGTCCCTTGGAAGGGGGCGCCGGAGAGGGTGAGAGCCCACAAGCCCGTTGTCCCTGTAGTAACTTTTCTGATACATCTAGCTTCAAATTCCGAAGGTCTAAAGGATCGTTAGACCACGCTTTCACAGTTCGTATTCGTACTGGAAATCAAAATCAAACGAGCTTTTACCATTATGCTCCACACGAGCAATTTTTTTTTAGGATAAATTATATCACACCCCATTATGTTTTAGTAAAAATACACACACCACTTTGTGTACTATTTATTGTATGAAACTTATTTGTGTTAATGTAAAATTTGCACGAAACACCCTCCTTATCCAAAACTGATAGTCTTTCTAAATAACGACCTAAATTACGTAAGTTTATACAAGCAAAAAACGTAAAATATTTTAAATAATTTTTTTGAATAAAAATAATAAATAAATAATGAATTAATCATTCGTTTTTATAGCCCTTTGGAGATAAATTGTTATATAATTTTTACAAATATTATAAAAATAAAAGATTCCTCAATTATTTATTTATTTATTTTATTCAAAAAACAATTCAAGATATTTTACGTTTTTTATTTATATAAAACTTGCTTAATTTAGGTATTTATTTAGATTCAAACATTAATTTTGGACAAAGAAGATGTTTCTTACCAATTTTACATTAACACAAGAGAATTTCACGCGGTAAATAAAACAAAAAATAGTTTTTGCATTTTTAGTAAAACAAGGAGTGTTATGTAGTTTATCATTTTTTTAAGGGAAACAATCAATTTTGGTCCCAATATAACCAAAATTGATATTTTGGTAACAATATAAAAAACTCATCAAATTTAGTCTTATTATAAACAATTTCAATCAATTTTGGTCCCATTATAAACAATTTCAATCAATTTTGGTCCCACCGTTAAAAAATTAACGGAAATTACTGACGTGAACATAATGGAGGTGACGTGGTAGCTGACTTGGAAACTACACGGCCATGTATAATTATACACGGTCATGTTGTTACATGACCATGTATATTTCAGTATAAAATTATGCATGGTCATGTTGTTACACAACCATGTACAATTAATTATACACGGCCATATTGTTACATGACCATGTATATTTCAATGTATAATTATACATTACCATGTTGTTACACGACCATATATAATTCTACACGGCCTTGTATCTTTATGTTTTGGTCTAAAATTTTATTTTTTGTTATATTTTTTATTTTTATTTTTTAATTTAGAATAGTTGATATAGTTAAAATGAAAAAAAAAAATCAATAATAATAATAATATAATTAAAATGTATCAATTTAGTTCAAATATAAATATTTATCAAGTATGTTCTTTTAGAAAATTTTGTCTGAAATTCTACTATTTATCAAAAAAAATTCTCTTACAAACATCCAATTACTATATTGAAATAGTAAATTAATTTTTAATACTACTATAATATGCAAAATTAAAAAATAGTTGTGTAATTGAATATTTGTAAGAAGATTTTTTTTATAAATAATTTTTTTTAGACAAAACCTTTCAAAAGAATATATTTTATAAATTTTTATATTTGAATTAAAATTGATAAATTTTAATTATATTATGATTACTATTGATTTTGCCCATTTTAATTATATCAAATATTTTAAATTCAAAATATTTTTTTAAAAAATATAACAAAAAAATAAAATTTTAAATTAAAACAGAAATGTACATGACCATTTAAAATTATACATGACCGTTTAACAACATAACCATATATAATTATACATGGTGAAATATACATTACCATGCTGTTTCCAAGTCAGCTGTCACGTCACCACCGTTATATCAACGTTAGCAATTTCCGTTAATTTTTTAACTGCGAGATCAAAATTGATTGAAATTATTTATAATGGAACCAAAATTGATTAAAATTGTTTATAATGAGATTAAAATTAATGAGTTTTTTATATTGAGACCAAAATTGATTAAAATTGTTTATAATGAGACTAAAATTAATAAATTTTTTATATTTAAACCAAAATTAATAAATTTTGATTATATTAAGACGAAAATTATTTTTTTTTCTTTTATTTATAACATTCTAATTTACCGACTAATTTAAATAACATAGTACTAGTACCTACTTTACAAATAGAGGGCAAAATAGACAAAACACTCTGTGTCCACTCTGGCATTAGCAATTTTGGCGTGGCAGTATTGTTGACCAAATAGGGTGGGATCTGACGACGCCGCGCTGTTTTCAATTTTATCTTTTGCCCTTCCGTCCTTGGCTCTTTCTTCCGCCTCTGCCCATTTGCTCTCGAACATAAACCCTAGGAGGCCTCACACAGCACGCTGCCAAGCGACGCACAATGAATTGCTCAAGTAAATCTCTTACCCACTTCTTCTCTTACTACATGTGCATGTGTCTTGGTTTGTTTTTAAGTACGAAACCGTGCTTTTGTGCTTCGTTCGACGCCTCTGATCTGTTAGTTTAATTGGGTACTTTGCAGTTTCCGGCGAGGTGCCGGAGGAGCCCGTCGTGTCCAAGAATTCGGGCCTACTGTTCGAGAGGCGATTGATTGAGCGCCACATCTCAGTGAGTGTGTTTGCTCTATGACTGTACTTTTGCCTGTGTATTAACTCGTGGATACACTAGAGAGGCCACTTTTGTAGTCGTTACTGCGCATCGAAGTTTTGATCTAATATCTGCTGTTGTTTGGTTGGTCTGGTTATGGAGGATTTTATCTTTGTTGATATTTTATTTAGTTTTTTCTTTTCTTCGCATACACTTGCTTAGGACTTTGGAAAATGCCCAATTACTGGAGAGCCTATGACAATAGATGATGTTGTTCCGGTCAAGACAGGAAAGGTATTGATTCTCCTCTAACTGAAATGGCTTGGGAGTGTCATTTGGTCCTTCTGTTAAGAAATTTTGAACTTGATTTCTTATGCAGGTAGTGAAGCCTCGACCAGTTCAGGCTGCAAGTATTCCTGGGATGCTTGGAATGTTTCAGATCGTATGAGATGCTCTAACTTAAGCTTCTTTAATATCATTGTGTTTTTGTCCCTGTAGCTTATTTAGTAGGATTGAACTGTTGTTTTGATGTGCTCTCTGAACAATTACAACATAGTTATTTCATTTTCAAATTTCTGGAGTTAAATGTAGGATAATTGAGAATTTTTTGTAAATAGTTTCCTTGTGCCTTGTTGATCCGCCTGTATATAGTTTACTTAAGAAGGAAGAATACAACTGTGCTTTTTATTACCTCTAAACTTCACTTATTTCTTGTTTGACTTGAAGTTGAATATGGTTGTTCTGCTTTTAGCCAAATATTCAGTTACATACAAATGTTAATATACGTTACACTTCTTGACTTTCCTGAATCAGAAACCTCAAATTTTAACTGCCGGGAAGCTAGTTAATGTGCTTCCAGAATGTATTATTTCAATGTATGCTGGTTTTTATTCTGTTGATTTATGTTTTGGAAGAATGCTTTTGTTTGAAATGGGTTTTTAACAGTTCTATATTAGGCCCCTTTGTTTTTCATAATGAAAATATGAAAAATGTCTAGAAGTATTATCTAATGGAGAAGTTAGATTTAGTTCTCTAATAGACCATTTTTCTATTAAAATATTTTTTGATATATCATCAAGATTATCCCAATTTCTAGGATCATAAATATCTAAGTTTAAAACTACACTATCTTCAATTGTCAATATTTCATTTGAAGTATTATGATTATCATCATTTTTTATATTATGTACATCACTATCAATATTATTCAAGTTTTCAATTGATCCCGAATGTTCAAATACTATTACTATTTGGTTTACTAAATTTTGTAGAACTTGTATTTCTATTTAAAAATTTATTAATAGCCCCCTTTTGTGAATTTATAAATTCTTGTTCTTGTTTTCTTTTTTTTTTTTTTTTTTTCACTTCCTGATAAATATTTTTTAGGCAACATCACTAAATTGATAAATTTAATAAAATAAAATAATAAAGAACAATCACACATGATTTGTAAATCGTCTTTGTCAATAATTGAATCTTTTTTTATTAGCTTGCAAACACTGTTCCTAAAAAAATCAACAAGTATTCAAATTCAATTAATAAATATGATTTAACATTTACAAGTAAAGAACACTATTATTATTTATTATTTAATAATAAACAGTTTTAATAAAATAGTATGTTATATTGTTACGTAGGAAATTTAGAATTAGGTTAAAAAGCCCAAGGTAAAAAGAAAAATGGGCCTAGTAGTCGAGTTGATCGAATTGGCCGAGGGGCACTGTGGGAAACTCAGGTAAAATGGAGGTATTTCTAAGGAAGGTCCTCAGGTCGGAAGGTCCTCAGGTCGAGAGGTCCGCAGGTCGGAAGGTCCGCGGGTCGGAAAGTCCTCAGGACGAAAAGTCCGCAGGTTGGTAGGTCCGCAGGTCGGAAGGTCCGCGGGTCGGAAAGTCCTCAGGACGGAAGGTCCGCAGGTCGGAAAGTCCTCATGTCGGGAGGTCCGTAGGTCGGAAGATCCGCGGGTCGGAAAGTCCGCAAGTCGGAAGGTCTTTAGGTCAGGAGGTCTGCGACTGGACCAGTAAGTCAAATGATCTTTAAGTCGGGAGGTCTGCTGCTGGACCAGTAAGTCGGATGGTCTTTAGGTCGGGAGGTTTGCGGCTGGACCAAACAAGTCGGGTGGTCTGCAAGTCGGGAGGATTGGTGGTCGGGCCAATAAGGTGGAAGAGTTGCGTTCGGGCCAAAAGGGCGGAAGGTCTGGGGTCGGTCCAAAGAGGCGGATACTGTTAAGAATAAGTGGGAATGATATTGTGGTCGGTTGAGGGCACGTGTCAGCAGGAGAGAGGGTAACAGACGGTTGGAAAAGCAGGCGTGTCAGCAGGAGAGAGGGTAACAGATGGTTGGAAAAGCAGGCGTTGTAACTGTTCGGGCGACGGTTTCCAGGAGCGTTTATCAAGGAGTATTTAAAGATTTGGTTTAATCTGGAGAAATTATCTTCAATCAACTTCAACAAAGCAAAGTCAGATTCGGGGATCACCACTTTAAATTTCCAGTATTTTATTTTCCCAGTTAATTATCTTATGTACCGTACAGTGTTTAGAGATTCCTAATCTCAGACTCTAATTAATCAAGTTTAAATATATTTTCCATATCTTTGAATTTTGCTTTTTGTTTGTTGAAAAAATACATCAACAAATTGGCGACCACAGTGGGAGAAAGGCAAGATTGCTGATCCTACATTACCAGAGAATTTCATACAACTGAGGTCCGGCAGAATCATCAGAAGAATCAATATGGCAGGCACACAACCTCAATCATCATCAGCACCGGCGGGAGAAAATGTTTCACCATCCATCATGCCAAATCCAGGGGAGATTCCCCAACGGCCTACCGACTGGTTGTCTTATGTTCAACAAATGAACAATCAGCAAAATGTGTTTATGCAGAACATGTTAGATCAAGCATTGTCAAGGGTTACTCTCAACCCACCCAGACGCCGCCAGGGGTGTCACCATCAAGAATGCAAGCGAATTTTTTGCAGGGCCATCATATGTGGACAACACACTTCCAAGCGCCACAAATTTCAACCGAGCAGATAGGGGAAAGACTCCTCTGACTTTCCCAAATAATGTTCCTTTGGGGCCAAGGGTTAAAAATGTACAACCGAACATTACAAGAGAGGAAAGGCCAGGGGGATATGTGCAGGATCCCATTCATATTCCTGTGCAAAATCCCATTGATGTTCCTGATCATCAACAGTTTCGTTTGGGTGACGAAATTGCTCACGTATTGAGGGTTCAGTTTGGTCTAAATCCTCAGATGGCCAACCGACCTGCTTATCAAAGACTGTTCCCAGAAAGGATTATTAATGAATATCCGCTCCCAAGGAATTACAGGCCACCAGATTTTCATACTTTTTCTGGAGAGGATGAATCCTCTACTATAGAGCATGTGGGACGTTTCAGAGCACAGTTGGGGGAAATTGGTAACAATCCTTTTTACAAGTTACAACTGTTTGGATTGTCTCTAACTAGGACAATTTTTTCATGGTTTGTAAGTCTGCCACTTAGGCAAATACAAACTTGGGAAGGTTTAGAGATGACGTTTCATGCCAGATTTTTCAATCCTCTCATAACGGTTTCTCTGACTGATTTATTAGAGATGAAACAATATCCAGAGGAATCAGTTTCACAATTTATCGAGAGGGTGCGATTGATGAAAGGACGGTGTCCTACAATAATCAACGAAAATGAGATGACCAACTTAGTGGTCCGAAATATGCATGGTCGCCTAAGAGATGCGCTCATTGCACATGATGTCGAAGATTTGGCAAGTCTCGCATCCAAGGCTGGACGCTTAGAATCGCTTTTCAGGGAAAGAGATCAGAATTTCAGGCGTAATAAAGGCCAACATATGGCTAGCATGGAAACAGAGGTATACGATTTTGATTATGATCAAACAGAATAGATGGCGGCCGAAATAATTTCAGGGAAACCTTATGTTTGCCATAAGTTAAAGCCAGCACTAGGAGCAGAAGCTAAAGGGCAATCGACCTTCGACAGTTCAAAGGTTGATGAGATATTTGACATTTTTCTAACTGATGGTCAAATCCGAATTCCAAAGGGACAGAGGTTGGCTACTAAGGAAGAAATTAAAGGGAGGCCATATTGTAAGTGGCATAATTCCTTCACACATAATACAAGTCACTGCACTCATTTTCGAAATGAGATCCAAAAGGCTATTAAGGTAGGTCGGCTCAAGTATATTACTTTGGGAGTGGAGCAGCAACCATTTCCAAAAGTAACCACAACAATGGTTAATATACAAGCAACTTCCAGAAAAGAAAAAAAGGGAGTTCATCAAACAGTGGCCGACCAGAGGAGAAGCTCAAGGTCCGTAAAAAAACAGTGGCTGAAAAATGGGATAATCAAGATGGTTCTTTTAATATGGAATTAAAGGACCAGGTTGTAGTTCGGGACCACCCGACCAGGAAGACGGGTGCGGTCGGAAGCAAATGGACTCAAAATAAAAAACCTTTACCAATTGATGTGGATCCTTGTTTCCCAGGCGTGAATCGTACTCAGATTCGGAATGCCAAGCGCAGGTATGCTGCGAGATACAGAGACAAGGTCGTCTCATCAAAGCAACCGAATGACACCCGAGGCGCTGCCAAGTATAATGAGCAAGGTCGGTCCATCAGGGTTGTTTCATTTGAGCAACCGAATGAGACAGAGGAAGGTTGGTTCTTCGGGGCTGCCTCAACAGTGCAGCCGATCAGCGTACGGGACAATACTAATTACAAGGAGGGAGGTCAGTCCATGCAAAAGAAGGGTATAAGCTTGTCTAATAAGAGAGTTAAGGGTTTCAGATGTCAATTTTGTGAGAAGGTTAACATTAACCCATCACTGGAGGAGTTTCGTTTGGAATTTATTTGTTAAAATGAACAGAATAAAAAAAAAATACTAACCGTTATGTCGATTAGTTTTCATTTTCTCCCATAGTGTAGAGTTTTAGAATGCAGTTAACTAGCATGTGCAGTGCAGTTAATATCTATTATATCATTACTATTAATTAGTTTTGAAATTATAAATATTATTATTAACTTATTGTTAATCCAAAAAAACATGTTTCATAAATATTATCTATTTATGATATAATTAATTAATCCCTTTTATAAAAATTATACATATATATATTACACTATATATATGAAATGGGCCCCTATTTTCTCTGGGCCTGGGCGGGCGCCCCTCTCGTCCGGGCCAGGGCCCTGTGCAGGAGGGGCCTCAGGTTGTCTGTTTTTAGGGTTCTATTATCTAGAGCAAAGCGATCTTAGGGTTTTGTAATCGTTTAACATTTTGGCTTGCTTTCAATCTTTATTTTTTGAAGGGTGCTTCTAGTGATAACATGGATTTTGAGGCCGTAAAGACCGAGCCGACAGAGGAATCTAAGGTGGTGAAAGCCGAATTGGACGTGGACGACGATCCATTGGGGTGAGTTGCTGTTTATCGTTTCCTTGTTTCCCCCCTTTTTGCGAAGTATTATCAATTCAATTTGCGATCCATTAGGTTTGAAACTTTATTGCTTACATTTGGGTATTTGACGAATTCCATGTGATAATCACTGGCATTTTTGTGGGGTTTGTTGTGATCATTCATGTGAAGCTATTCTTAGAAGATTTCTAATGCTATTTAGAACTTATTGTATTGTTTATTATTCCTATCAACATGTTTTGGAGAATTGAATTCTCTCGATAGGTTTTGTTTCCTGTTATGATGAATTCAAGTTAATGATGTGCAGAAAATTTCCTGGACTTCTCATATATTTACTGTATAATGTCATAAGCAATAACAACCTATTTATCATTTTTTTTTTCTTTGAATACGATTGATGAAGAAAAGGTTATAGCTAAAAGAAATATACATGTATATATCTTATGAAAGTCTTTTTGTCTATATTGATGCAGCCCTTCCCTAAATCCCATGCTTTTTACTTGTATTTGTAAGCATAATAATCGATTCAATGCGGTATAGAACCTAAGAATCGAAACTAAAATGAATTCCGAGAACATACTTCCGGCCATTGGTGTCAAATTCGAATGCAATCTTTCATGGTTCTTCTAAGCACTTGCACTATATTTTCTAGATAAGAAGACTTTATATAGTGATGCTTAGGGGACAAAAAAGTCAAAAATTCATGTCTCAACTACTTCATTCCATCAAAGAAGTAATTAACATGAAGAGTGGAGTAGTGGGGATAGTAGTGAAGATCTTTCACTTATGTCACATTAATATTTAGTAATGAAGTGGAGTAGTGGGGATAGTGGAGTAGTGGAAACCTTTCACATAGACCACATAATATTAACAGTATTTGCATATATGTATAGATGAGTTTTTGGAGATTTTGAATCAAGTTAAGTATGAGTGCACACACTTTTTTGAAGTATTTATCAACTTCAGTAATTTGAATTCGGTTTAGTTTTAAACTTACTGAGTTTTTACTTTATTATTATTAGAAACAAACTTATAAGAATCAAACTGCTTCCTTTGTTATAGCTAATGAATAAAAGAACGGAAGAATTTTGCATCTTGTCAAACCCCTACCACCTAACACGAGGCCGTGATTCTAAGTGAACTTGAAAAAAGGAGCAACTAGTTGCCAAAAATGATTTATTAGCAAAGCTAGGTTTTATTCCTTGTCAACGGAGAATTATGAGGCCATGTGGATCGGTGGATGATATGCAATGATGCAGAATGTTTCTTCCTTTCATGTACAAAACCATCTTTTTTTCCATATCCGCATGTGTAGTATCTGCGCATGTGTTGTTGTAAGATGTGTACCTCTATCCAACGTTTTCTTTGATACATCTGGTAACTGGTGGTTCTAAGTTGTTGGGACTTGAAGACCTGTATAAGTTGTCCGAATCTATTAACTCACCTCCTATTACAAATGTCTGGGTAGATTTAGAAAGGACTTTTATAGTTCTAATTTTCACGAAGCTCCATTTTCTCTTTCGTTGTGTTGCGTGTTATGTACCATTGTATTGTTGTAAACATCAACATAGGGGAGAGGAAGGATAAAGAAAAAAACAATACTTTTGTTGAGAAAGTAATCTCGTGTGTTCTGGATAGCCGATTTCCATGAATGCATGAAGTTCTAGTGTTTTAGGCGCCTACAATAACTAATCTCTAATTTTATATTTTTATTATGTCTTTTGTAACATGTTAGTGAGTAAGCAAGCTGTTAAAACGGGTGGAATTTATTTTTATAGCTGATTCAAGGTTATAGAGTATTATCAAAATATATGTGATACTTCAAATTGTTTTATTGATTATTTTGCTAATGATATGCCATGGACTCCCTTTTTGGAGTTAATGTGCTTAAAATTATCTTAATGGAATTTGAGCAGGTTCTTGAGCAGCAAAGAACATATAGAAAAGTTCCAGAGGCATCTAACTGAATATAAACAAAGTTTGACGGCCAAGTATTTTTCTGGGAAGACTATTTTTGGAGGTAAACCACCATTTTCTTAGTAGCTCTGCTTCGTCTCATTAAACGTACCCTAAAAATCTGCCTTTTGTTTACTTATTTGTTTCTTTAATCGAACTAAGTCCTTATAAATCAGTTTTCAAATATTGAATGTATCTCACACTTTAAAATCCCAAACTCATTCCAGAGAAGTAATGATTGTATCTCTTGTACCAAATCTGGCATCGTATTTTTGTTGTGTCTTTGGTTTTTGTGGAATTGCATTTCTCATATTCCACACCATATGTCTTGCTGTTTGATTCACACATCTGATGTGATTCGCCCTTCATTTCTTTTATACTTCTTTGTAACCTATAAAAAGTTTGGTGTTTAGAGATTTCTGTGACTAGTTTTATTTTGTAATATATCTTTTTTGCTACTCTTGCAGGCAACATATATGATGTGAAAATGAACATCGAAGGAAACACTATCTGGGCCAGCAGGTACATAGTAGCCAAATTTGCGAATATATATATATATATATATATAAAAAAAAAGAATTACTTGAGCAAGACTGATTTGCATCTGCTAAATATTGTCATAGGTTTAGTCCATATGCATCTTATCTGGATCCAGCCGCTTTTAAAGAATTCCTCAGAAAAGACTTGGGGGGTTCTTCTGACGACGAATCTACAAATGGTCCAGCTGAAACTAATTCTAGCAGATGCTCCAACTGAAACTAATTCTAATGTGAAGCCTCCCTCAACCTGAGGCAACTGGCCTGGAATCTCTATATATTCTGCGTAGATAGTGCAAGCAATGGAATCTTGGATGAGACCGACTTACTGTTTCAAGACTAATCGGATTCTAATGATGGTTTGACCGATATCTATATCTATATCTATATCTATATCTATATATACATACATATATATTATATATATAGTTTTTACTAAGGGTGTGTTTGTTTGGGGGTTTGGATTTTGGATTGGGATTTGAATAGTAAAAATTTTGAATTTGAATAGTTGTATGATGTGATATAAATAGGGTTTGATGTGATGTTTTGAATGTAAAATTGATTTTTAGTATAATATAAAAAATAAAAAATAGGTGTTTGATGTGATGTTTTTGGGGGGAAAAAATTTGATGAATAGTAGAAATCCTCCAAAATCCTTCAAACAAACACACCCTAAGTATCTCAAAGCCATAATTTACCATATCTCTACAGAAAAACTCCCTTTCTATTTTGAAATGCTTTCACTAATTGAGGTATTGATGCATATCTTAATGGGCATGGTGTTCATGATAATTAATGTGAGCCAATAGGAGTTGCAAAAGTATCAGTAGAATGTCGAGAAGATCAATTTTGGACACTGTTAATGTTGTTGGAGAGCCATAGTAGTTCATTATAGATTTCTTGCAATAAACAGGTAAATATTAGTTCATTAAGACCAGTGTTCGCTCATTAAGCATTCAAGTTCATTCATAGTGTTCAAGTTCGGTTTTGTTGAGCAATTTTATTATTTAAATTTGTGTTTGTGTTCGGTTCAATTTGAGCTCGTTCGGGTAAATATGATATTTTATTTTATTTTTAAAATTTATATATAGTATTTATGTATTTATTTTTTAAATAATAATTTCATATATACATATATTTTAACGTTTGTGAATGTCTTTTTTTTTTTTTTTTTGAATGTTTCTAAATGTTAAGGAACAAGACTTGTGTTTGTTTGTCAACCATATAAACTTATTTATGTTATTTGGCTCGATTAATTTATATTTGTGAATAAGCTTAAATAGAGTGAAACCGAATCAAGTTCTAGAATAATTTTGTTAGTTTAACAGTTCACGAATAATTTTGTTAGTTTAACAGTTCTATCCTTTTCGGGAGGAATATCGGTAATAAATCAAAATTATTTTTTAGTGTAATAATAATATTCTTTTTGTTCGATAAGAAAAATATTATTTTTTATTTTTATCCGTCTCAAAACACTTTTAATTTAGTAATTATATTACCTATGTAACGTAATAAATACATTTACATCTTATAATATATTACATAATTGTCCAGTGGCGTAACTAAGATTTCATAATAAGGGGGCTAAATTTTTTAAATAACACCGATTGATTTATTGTTAAATAATTTTATTCTTTGATAAGTCATCTTTTAAGAAATTTTGCAAAATAACAATTTACAACACCAACTAGTATTTGTTTTATCTCGTATGTATTTCTTTGGTATTTTCTAATAGTTTTTTACCATTCTTTATTCTTTTTATTATTATTATTATTTATTGGAAGTATTCATTTGAATTTTTGTTTATATAGTATTTTGATATGATATTTTGTGATAAAAAATAGTGTATTTTTATTGTAAACTATGTCAATTAATTTTTATTTAAAATAGTAAAAGAATAAACAAATTTTTTTTATTATTATTTAAAACTTACATTCAAAATCCAAACAAACTCTATATAAAATTTAGCATATATTTAATGTATTCTAATAACTTTTATTACTATGTTAATATATACTATATATGTAATACAGGGGTGTGTGGGGAAAGGCCCTTCCTAGGTATGATCAATCTATATAAATATCATTATTTTTATATTATAATATATTTTTGTATTTTTTTTTTTTACTGTAAACTAATATAATACTAATAATATTTTAAAATTTAAGTGCGCAAAAATTTTTCCTCTGTTTTTCGGTCAGTTTATTTTAACAGTTCCTTTCCTATTATTTAAATTATTATTATTTTATTTTTATATTTTGTTAGGTTTTAATCTTACCTTAAACAACATTGGGTATTTGGGTGTGTTTGATTTCTATTTAAAATAAAAATTACCATGATCTTTTTATGATTTTCAGTACAAATATTATTTTTTTTTACAAAATTAAATAAAAATATTATTTAAATTCTACCAAAACCAAGCAAACCCATTAATTTTCCAAATTTTTTGTAATAAATTTTATTTTATTTTATTATTATTTTTTTTTTCAAGATGGATTTAGAGGATTTTTCAAATTTTTTATAATAAAAAAAAAATTATATTAGCTTTGTTAAGATGGATTTAGAGGATAGGCCAACTCACAATTCATTACTTTGTTAATATTTACGGGATGATTCATTATTTGATAAATTTGGAACCTCTACAAATGTATGTTTAAAGTACTTAGAGCAAATAAAATGGGACATAACCAAAAAAAAAAAAAAAACCCTTCAAACTCACATGATGCACATGTGTTGAAACAATAATTTCCAACTCTTCAAAATTAAATCACAATTAAAAATATTTGATATTTTTATACTATTTATTATTAATTGAGTCTAATATAATTTATTTTTAATTTTAGGAAAAAAAAAATTCATTTTTGGTCCAAATATAATCAAAATTTTATCAATTTTGGTCAAAATATAAAAATCTTATCAATTTTGGTCACAATATAACCAAAACTCATCATTTTTGTCCCAATATAATCAAAACTCATCATTTTTTCTCCCAATATAAATTTTTTATCATTTTTAGTCTCAATATAACCAAAACTCATCATTTTTTGCCTCAATATAATCGAACCTTTTTTTTTGTCCCACCGTCAATAAACCGACGAAAAATGCTAACGTGAAAAAAAATCAAACATTATATTTATATTTGAAGAAATTGCACAATCTTGCAAGTCCATGTCAGCATTTTTCGTCGGTTTGTTGACGGTGGGACAAAAAAAGATAAGGTTTAATTATATTGGGACAAAAAATGATGAGTTTTGGTTATATTGGGACTAAAATTGATAAAAATTTTATATTGAGACCAAAAATGAGTTTTGGTTATATTGGGACTAAAATTGATAAAAATTTTATATGATTAGTTTTGGTTATATTGAGACCAAAATTGATAAGATTTTTATATTGTGATAAAAATTGATGAATTTTGGTTATATTGAGACAAAAAATGATTTTTTCCCTTAATATTATTATACTACCCCCGTCTCATAAGAAGAGTACCGTTTGTGTTTTGCATCATTGTGTTTAACATTAAAAATATTCTTATATTTATATAATTTATTCTACAATGTCATTATATTTGTATTATAGAGACTAACAAAAATATTTTTATAATTTTTTTCTTTATTTATACTACGTATTAATATATTAATTAATATTCAACTATCACCTTAAAAAACTCATGTTACTCTTCTTATGGGACATGGATAGTATCATTTTTGTATTTTTCTTATTATAGTTATTACTTGTTAAATGGTAAAAAAATAATATATAGAAATAATAATAATTTTTCAAAAGAAACAATGCATTATAAATACAATAGAAACATTCAAGTTAAAATAAAAATATAAAATATAAAATTCTATAGATTATAAAAATATAATTATAAAATATAACTATTATGATAAATAACAAAAAAAATTGACTTAGAAATATATTATATCTTATAAATACGAGTTTTGTACGGATCTGCCACTTGAAAAGTCTATCCTGCCCCTCATTTAAAAAATGACAATTTAGTCCTTAACCTATCTTTGTACTGGCTTGAAAAGACGAGATTGTACGGATCTGCCACTTGAAAAGTCTATCCAGCCCCTCATTTCGAAAATGACAATTTAGCCATTAATCTACCTTTGTACTGGCCTGAAAAGACGTTTTGGAACCGTCGCCAGCAACCACCGTCAACCGCCCAAGACGAAACATTTTGAAACATCGTCTGGTCGGTTACATCAACCGCCTCGCCAAATGCCTCCACCAGTTCCAGAATTCAAATAGCCCAACCGACCAATCCAGAGACCAATCGCTACACCAAAAGACTTCTTGGCCGCACCAACCAAGCGACCTGTCTATCCGCCTGCGGACCAGCTGACTTGCCTATCCGACCGCAGACCAGCCGACCTACTTTATCTGACCGCAGACCATCAGACTTGTCTGTCCGACCTGCTGACCATCAGACTTGTCTGTCCGACCGCTTACTATCCGACCGAGGACCAACCGACCATACCAACCGACCGACCGAGGACCTTCCGACCTGCCAATCCGACCGCTAACCAACCGACCTGATCATCCGACCGAGGACCAACCGACCAGACCAACCGACCGAGGATCTTCCGACCTGCCTATCTGACTGCTAACCAACGCACCTGACCATCCGACCGAGGACCAACCGACCTGAGCGCAATTTTTTTTTCCTTTTCCACCCGATTTCATGTCTATCTTCCTTTAAGATCCTGCTATTATTATTATTATTATTATTATTATTATTATTATTATTATTATTATTATTATTATAATTATTATTATTATTTTTTGTGTGTAACAATTATCAAAGTTGAAATATCCTTGCTATTTTTGACATTTCAAAACTCATAAAGAGATGCAGGGTCACCCTTCTTATCTCAAACATTTCATCTACATTCTTCTCTATTTTATTTTTTATTGTTGTTGATGCAATTTTTCAACAATAAAAAGTAAAATCTGAAAATAAAGTGTTGATGTATTTTTTCAACAGACAAAAAGTAAAATTCAAAGATATGGAAAATATCCTTAAATTTGATTAATTAGCGCCTGAGATTAGGAATCTCTAATTCCTCCTTTATTGACACGTGCCTTGCACTGTCTCGCCAAACGCTTCCACCAGTTCCCAAACTCAACTTGCCCGACCGACCATTCCAGAGACCAATTGCTAGACCAGCCGACCTACTTTATCCGACCTGCTGACCATCAGACTTGTCTGTCCGACCTGCTGACCATCCGTCTGTCCGACCTGCTGACCATCAGACCTGCAGACTTCCCGACCTAAGGACTTCCCGACCTGATCACTTTTCGTCTTGACGACCTCCCGACCTGAGGACTTCCCGACCTAAGGACTTCCCGTCCTGACCACTTTCTGTCTTGAGGACCTCCCGATCTGAGGACTTCCCGACCTGACCACTTTCCGTCTTGAGGAAC